TATCTGGGTTCTCTCAGCATGTTTTTGAGGCTCATTCATGCTGCAGCACGGATCAGCAGCTCACTTCTTTTTACTACGAGCAGTATCTCATAGGGCGGAGTCACCAGTTGATGGACACTTGGATTGTTTTCATGTCTGGCTGTGATGAATCATGCTGCTACAAACATTTACATCTGTGTCTCTCTGTGAGCCTGTGTTTTCATTTCTTTTGGGTAGACTCCTAGCTGCGGTGGAACTGCCAGATCCCATGGCAAGTGTATGTCTAACTTTGCCAGGAACTGCCAAACTGATTACCAAAATGGCTTCAACATCTTCCCATACCTCCCCCATCCAATAAAAATGTAGGCTAAATATTCAAGAAATGTGAAATCCTTTGCATCTATTCCACTTAGCAGATGTGGATGTGGCAAGCATCCTCCGGCAGCCTCACTCCAGCGTGAAAAAAATGCAGTCTGCAACGATGCTGACATTTGGGGATACAACAGGTGCTGGTGATCACCATTTCTCACTGGCCCCTCGTACTTCCACCGCTCTGCCTTACTGACACGTTAATCCCCACTTTTCAGGCTTGACTTCTGGCAGGTCTCTTGGGGTCTCTGTCTGGAATGCACCCTGCGTCCCTGTATTTCCTTTTTGGTTCCTGTGACTCTTACCAATCGGTAACAAAGAAATGAAAGTATTCCTCCCTTTCACAGGCAAATAAAAGTGTTTAGCAGGACCACATCCAACGTTGAATCCCATGACCCCAACACCTGGACACAAGACCCTGACCACTGCAGTCTCTTTGGCTGCATCTGATTGTTGATGACTCATCTAAATATCTGTGCCTTTCTTTCTCTACAAACCAACAACCTGAGTGCGTTTTATAAGATTTCTTATAGCTACATAAGGTTGGCTCCTAGGCCCAGTTCTGTAATGTGTTTGCAAATGCTATTACACTTGTCAGACACGGTTTGTTTTCAATAATCTCATCGCTTTTTTATTTATTTATTGGAATGCCGTGGCCCTGTGTTTTCTTATCGCCTGCTTGTTTATGGAGTGAAAAGCATCTTTCCTTCCCCTGCCTGAGTGCCGTCTACTTAATTTCTAGGTTGGGTAGGAGCTGGGAATGGAGCAGGGGTCAGGACCTGCAGGCAAGGATGACCGTGAGGCAGGGGCGTGGCAGGCACCAGAAGACAACAGACCCAAAAACTTCCTTGTTGCAACACAGTCACATGTGGGTTTTTTTAATCAGCTGTAATTCAAAAGATAAAATGTGCTGACCTGTTAGAAACGTTCATCTAATATCTCTATGTGAAAGTAGCTGCAGAGTCAAGCCCCCCAAAAACAAACAAAAAAAAGGCTAAAAATCACCCCCAAACCTAAGCCAGCTCACTCACAACTCACAGCTTACTATCGGTGACCTCCCTCTGGCCTCTGTATGGACACTGAGGCAAAGGCACGTAACAGACAAGGCTCACCTCCTGGACAAAGCGCCTACTCTGTCCCAGGCAACCCTCTACTCTCTCTGCATATGCCACTTCATTTAGTCTTCACAAAAACCCAGTGAGGCAGCTATAATTATCCTCACTTTACAGACGAGAGGCTGGGGATCCAGGAAGATAAATGACTTGCCCAAGCTGGCACAGCTACGAAGAGGCAGAGGCGGGATTCAAACTAAGGACTTCAGATGCCAAAGCTCAGACTGTTTTTCTCTAAACCAGGCTGCCTTGTCAGTTAAATTCCTCTATCCCCCATCATGGTTGCCACGAGACTCTAACCATCTCTTCATCATCATCAATAAATATTTATCAAGGACCATGCCTACTCTGCTTTCTCTTGTTTCCACAGCAACACACTGTCAGAGTCACGGGAGGATCCCGTGCTTAAAAGAATGACGCTGTGATGTCCTCTGATCATGGCTCTGAAAGGTGACAGTTACACTACTACAGAGGACATTGTGTCAGCTGGCAGCCTGGTGCGTGCAAGAGCTGCGCTAAGAACCAGCAAGGAGCAATTAAGAAACAGAGAAGGACCATGGGTTGTAACCCAAGAAGATGGGCTGTGCCTGCTACGTGTTCCCAATTGTTGTGGGAACAGAATCCAAGCCGGGTTTGCACATTAATTGTTCTTCTATTAGGAGACAAATCAAGCACTCCAGGACAGAAAGCAAGATTCCACTGCGCTGTTAACTGCTCCCCAGAGGTATCTGGCAGTGACTATGACTAGGCTGCCAACAATCGCAATTTCAAGTCAGTCCCCTGGAAGATGTATGTTCACTCTCAACATACAGATTCTAAATACTAAAACCCACTAGTAAATGCACTAACTGACCCCCTATTTGCTTACCTGTCTCCTTCCTCCCCAACCCCAAATCGTGTTTCCCCATACTGCTAACGGGCTATTTTTAGATGTTATTTTTACTATCGACCCTTACAAAACTCGTCATGGCTCATGACACACACATTAGAGGAGGAGGAAATTTACTTTTGATGACAAACTTCCACCCCTGACTTCTGGACACTGTGGCCAATATGTTACAACAATACATGTAATCCCCAACTATGTGCCGGATGAAAGCTTACAAATTGAAACTGCTTTCAAAACTGGGAATTTTCAGATCAAAAGAACATGGAAAACACACCGCTGAGCTTCAAAATGTAACATTTACCCAAACTTGCCAAAAGTTTTTAAAAGGATACCTGAAAGCTATCTTTATATCTATGCTGCATTTGGATCTCAATGATTTCAGAATTTAGAAGTAGAGTGAGAAGGTAAACCCATTTTTAAAAGTGACCATTTGCAGCATTCCTGCATTTACAAATGCAGATGTTCATGGAGAAACCAAGAAAAATCGAATTTAAATGGTCTAGTTAGCATTAAGCCAGAAAGGAGAGGACAAATATATACAGAAAATCCCTATTTCTACAAATATGAGAGGCTTAGCATGCATCAAATCTCCAACACAAGATAATCTCACTCCTTTAAGGAGCCACGAGAACGAACGCAGCCACTTGCTAAATATATGCTACAGAAGGTTTGCAAAAGCCAGCGCGGCTCAGGTAGAACAGAAAGAAACATAGGGTGTCTTAACAGCGGATTTCTTCCCAAACTGTTCTCTAGCATTGCTTTTCTTTCCCGTGAGTGCCCAAGAGCAAACAAAGAAAAGGTGCTTGCTCCTCACACTTCTCTAAATGTTTTAACAAAAGGCTGCTGAATAAACACATTACTCATTTAAAAATTGAAAAGAAGTTCTATGCCTGAGATGAAAGCAACCAGATTTGCATTTGAACAGTTGTGGGCGAGCGCCACCTGGCGGGAGCATCCGGAACGAGCTCGCGTTCAGCACTGGACAGCTGCCCGAGCAGCTACGGGTTCACCCAAGAACCACTCGAGGTCCGCGGGCGGGGAAGATTTTTTTTTTTTTTTTTTTCTTGTTTTCTGCCGCGGGACCGACAATACTATTAGCGCCTGCTCTGCCGGCCAGGCCTTGGAGGTTGGTAAGATCTGAGTGATTCACGACGCCCGGGTTCCCAGATCGGCCGAGAGCACCGTCCCTCCAAAAACGAGGACATTAAGAGCTGTATACGGAACACGGCCGCGGCGTCCCAGTCCCACCCCCGCCCCAGCCACAGGCACAGGCTCTGGAGGGCCCAGCTCCAGGCTCCGCAAGGGCAGGCCAGCGCGTCTCCAAAGGAGCGCCCCTCCCTGCCGGCCGCCTCCTTTCCGCGGGAAGACGCAGGGGCCCGGTGCTGCTTAGGAACGCACAGAGAACCCTCGCCCAAGTCCCACTGGCTCAGCTCCGCATGGCCACGGCAGCGCCCGGCGGGGCCAAGAAACTTCAAGGTGAGGCTGAACTTGAAAGTGTCCCTGGGCCATCTCCAGCCTCCTCTCAGTGGGCAGAGGGCCGGGGATGTGGAAGAGCCCCCGACACACACACACTCCGAGCGGCGGAGGCAGCGGGCCCACACACGCGCCGAGTTACAGCTAGGAGAGCCCAGGTTGAACCCTGACACCCGAGGGACCCGCCTCTGCCCACCTCCCGCCTGTGGCCAGACCCAGACACGAGTCCCCCAAACTTTTCAGGAGCAGACCGGCCTGCGGGTCCGAGCCGCTCCACGGGCGCCCGTTCTCTCCGGGTAACAAACCAGGGGCTGGGCGGTGGCGCAGCTGTCCCGGTCACCAACGCAGACCCTCCCCCCCGGGCACCTTCAGCGGGGAGCTTAGGGGCCACGGCGCGTTGGCAGCAAGTCCAAGGCTTCCCACGTCTCTGAGGAGAAAAAGCCAAGCCAGGCCACGGCGCCCGCAGCTTCGGCCTGCCCGAGCCCCGCGCTCCCCGCCGGAAGCGCGCGGCCCAAGGCGCTGCCGGGGACCCGCCGCTCCTCGTCTCGCCGCCCGATTCCGACAAGTGGGAGGCAGCGCGTGGAAATATTCCCAACAGCCGCGCAAAGTTACTCCAGCCCGGGGGGCCGGCGGGAAAGTAAAGCGGAGAACTTCCCGAGCCGCGGGCTGCCGAGGGACATCGGCGGCCGGGCGCGCTGGGCACGGCTGCCCGCTCCTGGGGGCCAGCGGCCGGGCTCGGGCCACCGCCGGGACCCCTCGGCCCGCGAGCCGGCACAACTTTCTCCTCAGCGGGTCCCGCGCAAATCCGGGAGCTCCGGGGAGCCCGCGGCGGGCGCACTCACCTGCGGCGCTCTGCGCCCGGGCCCCGGGCAGAGGCGGCAGCTGCAGCCGCAGAAGCAAGCTGAGGGCGAGCGCGATGAGGCTCGCCATCCGGGCGGCGGGCGACTCAGTCCCTTCCCGCGGGGGCCCGGGCCGGGACTGGGACGGGTGCGGGGCGGCCCCGCATCGCCGGCGCGGCCGCGGGCTGTGCGCGCTGCTGGGCGCCCCGGCTGGCTCGGTTCGGTCTCCGGGAGCCGGCGCCGCTGCGCTCCGAGCCGAGGCGCGGCGCGAACTGAGGCAGGAGGCTGGGCGGGGGCGGGACGCGGGGGGCGGGGGGGGGCGGTGTCCCCCGAGTCCTAACGCCGCCGCCGCCGCCGCCGCCCGGCCGCTCCGCCTTGGCCGCGTACACACCCCTGCGCGTACGCCCGCCCCTGGCACACGCGGGTCCCGCCGCGCACCCTCTCCGGGGCTGGCCGGCTCGGAGCCGCTCGCACACTCACGCGCGTACCCACATCGCCCTCGCACCCGCACAAGCCATGGGGTCCTCGCTTCTTCGCCCCGCACGGCGCCACGCAGCCAAGCATCGTCTGCCCTGCGGGGGCGCAGGTACGGGGGCGATCGGGAGAAGGAAGACTGGGAGCTACGTTTGAATTCCGGGTAGGGGAACAGGTGGATGGGGGCAGAGGGGAGATGGGGCAGCTTTCTAGCTTGGGTGGGGGACAGGTGAACCGGCGGGGGGGTGGGGTGGCGAGCAGCTCTCTCGGCTCTGAGGGGCCCAGTGGATTGCGGGGGCGGGGGGCAGGCGGCTGCTGGTGAGGGTCCTGGACACACCCGGAGATGAAAATCTAAGAGCGTACATACATGTGTTTGCGTGCACACACACAGTGCTGGGCGCATCTCTGACTACGCCGCAACCTCTTGCCTCCCATCGCCATCAGCCACCCTACCTGCCACCCGCAGTCACCCCCATCTCGCCCTCATCCCTACCCCCACGCAGGAGGCGATGCAGACCGGGCAGGAGGCACCCCCTCCTGCTCTGGACTCTCGCGTCCTCCCTTTCTCGGGAGACAGAACCGTGTAGGTTTTTCCCTTTTCTTCTCGGTCTGAACAAAGACCTGGTTGGGGCTGAAAGCCGCAGATGAGAGTCAGAGCTGTCCCTCACTGCTGTGCTGGGAGCAGGGAGCCCATGGGGAAGACAATGCCACGAGGCTTTGGCTGGCGGGGGGCTGGGGTGTAGACACCTGGAGTGGGGACACTGGGACATGCTCAGGGGACATCAGCACAGCCTCCCTTCCGGGCAGGGGCTCCAGGGATCGGATCGGACAGCCTGTCGGAGAGTAGAGGGAAAGTCAGCTGGCCAAGCTCTGGACTGGAGATACTGGGGCTGAGAAACACACAAGGCCTCTCTCCAACCCCAAGGCCTTGAATACAGGCCCAGTTGCTCTGCACATCCCACCCCTGTATTCCCAGGCACGTTATTCCACTCCACCCTGGGCTCCCCACCACCACCACCTTGAAAAAGGTGTAGCCCCTGCACCAGGTGCTGGCCTAAGCCCTGGGTCCCAAGGAGCTACCAAGGAGGTTGTTCAGAGCCCTGCCTGGAAATCGTGGGATGCCACAGGTCCTGGGTGGGGGAGGGGCAGGGGAGAAGCCTGGGAGGCGAACCTTTAACTAACAGCTTGGATCCTCCTGATAGTTAAGCGAGCCTTTGCAACGCCTTTCCCCTCCTGCTCTCTGCACTGTCTCTGGAGACATGGCAATGAACAGCCCTCCAGGACCCTTGGGAAAGCAAGCACCTTCTGGCTCAGAGCTGCCTGCCAGCTGTGTGCTCCAGCACACTCTCACTCAAGCCCTCTCGGGCCAATGAGCTGTTAGGGAGCCCCCATGGAAGGGACTTGACCCAAGCCTGGGACCTGGAACTCCCTCAACTCATGGCTGATCCAGCAGCCAGCCTGGGCAGGGAAGAGGTTTCTAAGCCACTGAGGAGCTTGGTGTCACACTTGTAACTTGTCTCGGATCCCTTGGGCCCCTGACAATTTCCTCCGTCTTCCTGCTTGCTGGAGAAGCATAAAATAGCAGCTCTCAGCTCTCCAGAGCACGTGCTCTCTCGCACCCTCCCACACTCACTCACGCTCCGGGGATGGTGTATGTATCATTGCAGGCAGAGCTCCCAGGTCTGAATGGGTTCATGGGACCCCAGGGTTGGGAGAAACCCATTCCAGGGATAAGCCAGCTGACAAAGCAGGACCTGAACCCACACCAGGCCTTCCCTACCCGGGTGTGTGATCCTGCACCACGACCCTGCATGCTCTCTGAGCAACCCACCCCACTGGAATCTGTCCCCTTGAAGCTTCTGCACCTGCCTCTGCCTGTTTCTGGAAGGCTCCATCCCACATCCTATATCCCTAGGGCTTCTCTCTGCAGCTTTGGCCAGCAGGCTCTTCCTGACCAAAGCCCCCTGGATTGGTTGCTGCGGGATATTCTTCACATGGTGGGGGTGTTGTCTCCTCTTTGGTCTGTTCTACGGAACTACATTCCGGAAGGGCACCTGTGTGCTTCACATAGGACCGCGCGGGGTTGGAGAGAGAATGCAGGCACAAAGCCAGAGATGCCCTCCGCACTGGCTGGGGGGTGGGGGGCTTCACGGAGAACGACAGCACATCTCCCACTCCCCAGCACTGGGAGCCTGGGTGCTGATTACAAAGGAGGAGCCACTCTCCTGTCTGCTCCCATCAGCCTGCAAGGCTGCCACATGACTCCGCGTGGGTGCTTGGCTCAGGGCAAGGGAACCCAGGCCTGGGGAGAGCTCGTGGCATGTGGGAGGAGTGGCATGGCCCTGCGTCCTCTGGCACCTCTGCTCAACCAGCAGGCCTCCTAGGGCCACTGTGCCTTTAACTTTGGGGGCCCTTTGGAGAGGCCTCTTGGGGCCTGTTTCCCAGTCTGCATGGGGGCTTCCCTTTCATCTCTGGTGGGAACAAGTCTGCAGTGGTTGTTTGATGCAGAGCTCTTCATCCAAGTGCAGTTTCCGGGGAAGCCTGAAACGTGGGGCATCCTTTCAGCATGTGCAGGGGCCATGTGCAGGTTCTGTGGGTTTGTGGCCAGAGCAAATGTGGTCTTGGCCCTCACAATGGTCACAGGCTGGACAGAGGATATAAAGGCATCCAGAGCTGGCCTCACTGTCCACCCACCCCCAGGGCAGAAGCAGAGTTCCAGGGGGACTCTTTGGGCCCAGGTCCCTCACTTCTCTGTGGGCAAAGGCTGATGAAGCAGCTGTTGTTTTGTGCCCACCTTATACATGGGCAAACTGAGGCTCCAGTGGGGCAAAGACTTGTGTGAGGAGGAAGGAAGGGCACTTCATGTGCAGAAGGGAGGTGGTTCCACCGCTGTGGCCCAGGTGGCCACTGGCCAGGTCAGTTTACAGCTTAGAACCTTCAGGGCCCCAATCTCTCAGACACCATGTTTACCCCACTCAGCTCCCACATCCAGAGCAGGTCCCTGATCACAGAGAGTTGTCGGCACTGCTCTATAACAGAGGTCAGTGGACGCCCACCAAATCCAGCCCCTGCCTGTGATTAAAAAGCTCAGCTGTGCCACAGCCATGCTTGTTTGTGTACTGCCCCTTGCTGCTTCTTGCAGAATCTCCCATTCAACAGCACTTCTCTGAGAGCATAGAGCCACAGGCTACAGCCCATGGGCCTAATCCACCCTTCCCCCCTGCCTATCTTTATAAATAAAGCTTTATTGGAGCACAAACCCATTGATTCACTTCCATATTGCCTGAGTTCTGCTCTCTGACCTAGGGCAGCAGAGTTGAGTCCTCCAGCCCACAGTGCTGAAAATTTTACAGTAAGTTTTCCCGCCCCTTCTCTGCAGACAATCTCCCAGTGCCCTGTGGCCATCACTGATCTAAAACTGGTTCTCAAAGTGTGGTCCCTACACCTGCAGCATCAGCATTACCTGGGAACACATTAGAAAGTCAAGTTCGCAGACCCCAAATGTGCCAAATGAAATGTTGGGGGCTGGGGCCCAGGAATCTGTCAGCCAGCTCTGCCAGTGATGATGAGACACGCTCAAGTTGAAAACCATGGCTGTGCAGCACCCATTAGGGGATGCCAATGCATGTGTGGCACAGTCTGAGGGCCAAGGGGCTCCCGTGGGGAACAAGAGTTTGAGAAGCCATCAGGAGGTTAATAGGCCATCTGCCACCTGGTCCCCTCTGCACAGAGGCCTATGGCAGCCATGGCACCGAGCCCGTGCCAGCCCAGAGAGCCCCTCGCACCAGTCACTTGTGTGGATGCCCAGGCCCCGCAACCGTGTGCCCCACCCTCCCACGGAGTTGTCAGCACATTTGGAGCCGTCTCCACGCATAAATTCCTGGACCAGCTGTCTCTTCTAATCTGGTTGCAAGATGAAACCATTAATAGATGTCAGACACATTGGCAATGATCTCTTCATTAATAATTTCCTTTCTGGGGGAAAAAATTAGTAACAAGCAACCATCAATAATTCAGAAATACAAGTTAACCTTTCTATTAGCACAGTGGCTGTGCTCACACCACAGACCCCTTCAGAGCCAGGAGTTCTGGCTTGCATAATGTTTTGACAACAGGAATATTAATATGCATTCATGCTGTCTGTCAAGACATGCAAACATAAATAACCCAAATGCAACTTAGACATCCTAAGTATGTTTCAAGTTTAACCCCGTGATCCCACCAGTTTGCTTGTCTATAAAAGCATGTGCTATCCAGTAAGATTCTCTCTCCCAAAGCCAGCCTTTATGAAGGAATCCGTTGTCAGTTTGGGGCCTTGGCAGTTGTATTTTGCTTACCCCCAGTTCACACTCCCGCTCTCTGGTTTCCTCCCTTCAGTGCTCTTTGGGGACAGAGAAAGTTCGTGGGCACACTTCCAAGAGGCCTTCGTGTGCATGTTGGCCGTGCTGCAGGTACGCAGCCTCCGTTCCTATGTCCTTCCTGTTCCTCTAAGCCATGTTCCAATTGGAGAACGCCCCTCTTCCAGGGAGGCCTTGCACCTGCTCATTCTTCACACCTCCATTTACCACCCAAGTGACCACACGCTGGTCCCTTTCTCTCTCCAAATCTGTTTCCCCATCTGTGAAATTGGGGCAATTATTCCCACCTCACCGAGCTGATGGGAGAATTAAGGGAGTTAATGGATGTGAACACGCTTAGAGTTGGGCTTGGCCCACTCAGAAGATCATTTCCTCTCTTTGTTTTCTGCTTGCAAGTCTTAGATTCACCACACCACCCAACCTTGACCACTGGCCAACTGTCAGACACACCTGGCCAACAGCACAGCATGGAGAGCCAGCTGCCACCTTCGTGGGCCAAAACACCAGCATGCAGACCAGTGGATTGGCAAGTAGATCTCATTGTCTGGGATGCCTTGAATTTAATGCTTGGGCTGCATCTAGCCCAAGTGTGATCTGTCAAAGAGCCATTTCTTTTAATTAAAAAATACTAAGTGATATGTGGCAAGCACCCAGCATGGATCTGTGCACCTGCTTCACACAGCAACCTTATGCCAGGCAGTAGGAACGTCAAGTTAAAGGGACCCCATCCACACGGAGCCCACAATGGGAGGTCGCCTGAGTAAGAGGATGGAGTGTCAGGGTTTGAATGAGAGCCATCAAACGTAACTGAGACATGGCCCAGCCTTTACTTCTTCCTTCTATCAAAGAGCTTCTCTGATCAAACAGGAGAAAAGCCACCATTCTTTTTGTTAAAGATTTATTTATTTGAAAGGCAGATTCACAGAGAGGTGGGGGTGGGGGTCATCCATTTGCTGGTTCACTCCCCAGATGCCACAATGGCCAGAGCTGCCCCGATCCAGAGTCAGGAGCTCCTCCCCACGCCACCCAGTCCCCTACACCACTGGTCCCCAGGCCAGCGTCCTTGCAGCGACCTGGTGCTCACCAACTGGACACAGGCCTTTTCAGAACATGGGGGTCCTTTTCAGACTCTCAGCCCCGGGGCCAGCGCTGTGGTATAGCAGGTAAAGCCGCCTCCTGCAGTGCCAGCATCCTACATGGGCACAAGTTCAATTCCAGGCTGTTCCACTTCCGATCTGGCTCTCTGCTATGGCCTGGGAAAGCAGAAGATAGCCCAACTCCTTGGGCCCCTGACCTGCATGGGAGACCCAGAAGAAGCTCCTGGCTCCTGAGTGGCACAGCTCCAGCCATTGCAGCCAGTTAGAGAGTGAACCAGCGGATGGCAGACCTCTCTCTCTCTAACTTTCAAATAAATAAATCTTAAAAAAAAGTCTCTCAGCCCTTCGACTGGACCCTGACTCCACCTTCAGATTCCAGAAGGTTCCAGGCAGGGGCAGGCCCATAACCAAGATGAGAGGAGAACCCGTTGCGTCTCAACACCTCCTTGCAGCGACCTTCAGCTCCTCATTGACCCCAGTTCCATCCCGACAGAGGCCACAGCAGTTGTTAGAAGCTCCAGTCATTGCCCAAGCTCTCACTCAACCAGAGTCCTTCACGGATGCCCCCAGCATACACGACAGAGCCCTTAACACAGCCCACCCGTCCTACCCCTAATTCACCTTAGGCTCCCCTCCATGTGAAGTCTCCCCAGGTAGAGAAGAAAGGAAGGACTTTCCAGGTGACTGCAGCAGCTGCACAAATGCTCAGAGATCAGAAGGCACTGCATGCTCAAGCAGGTGCAGACATGGCACGAAAACTGAGGTCTTGGGGCAGTGGCTCCCTGTACTATGACTTCACCTCTCCACACCCTGCTCCCATGACCTCCCTCCGGACCTGCGCCTGTGTAGTTCTCTCTGGGATGCCAGACCCAAAATTCCTCATCTCTCCTTATCCTTCAGGGCGTGGCTTTGAGGTATCCATGGGTTGCACTGTAGGGGCCTAACATTTGTAGATCACCTTCTCCACAAGGAGAGAAGCCTCAGAGGGTGCCAGGATTGTGTCATATACCCTCACATCTCCAAAGCAGGCCCCATCCTTGCATACAGCAAACACTCAGTGTTAGTTAAGACTAAGGACACGTTTACCTGCCAGGGTCAAATACATTCAGGATGAGTTGTTCCCAAGCAAAAGGGAGAGTGCCCATTTATTGAGAGATCTATAGGGACACCAGCTCATCAAAAAGGAACCCCAGCAAAATTCCCAGGTAAGCAGGATGAGGTTTGCCATTGTGCCCTGATCTGAGGACCCACCAGGAGCGATTGTTATTAACTCGGCTTTTCCTCACCCCGGACTCCTAAATCCAAGACTTCAGGAAGAGCCTAGAAATCTGTCCTGTTCATCAGACTGTACCCCAGGGAGTCCTGTGAAAGGGCAGAACTGGGCACATCTGCCCAGGCCAACACAGCTGCCCTGGAGACCACCCTGTGGTCAGAGTGCTGGAGCAGCTGGCAGAGAGGAGCCATGAAGAGGAACCTGTCTGCCCACAGTGCTGGGCTGCCCCCCTACAGGGGCCCAAGTGCCACAGCAGAGGCCAAATTCCGAGAAAGAAACAGTACCAAGATATTTGCCATGGAAATGATGCAGAAAGCGTCCCTGTCTTAATCTTGGAAAACTTCCCTCAGACCTCAGCTTTACAGAGTGGCTCAATCAGAATCTTTGGTTCATGACCCTACTTTCATGTTTCCCTGCATGAGCTGATATGTGTTTGTTAGTTTGATGTATGTATTTGTTATTTTCACTGACTGTATTTTGGCAGGTGCCTATGGGTCTTCCACCCACCACAACTACTGAGCCCTTGAAGGTCAAAGAATGCTGCCCCCAACACTCCAGCCCTTGAGAGCTGTCAGGAGGGCTTGTATTGGGTGGGGGACTCCAGAGCTGACTGCCGCTATGGTGGTCCTCAAACCTGCTACTTACCACAGTCAGCTGGGAACCCACCCTCAGCCTATATGAGCAGGACCCAGGCAGCAGAATCTTTTAAATCTCTGGTTATCTCCATCAAGAACTATGGCCAGGGCTTTTCCTCTAGAATCCTTCCCACCGCGGGGCAGGGGGCGAGACCTGAATCATCCAAGGGCTCTGTCCCCTTTATAACCCAGGAGATGCCGATCCTGTGTGCCCAGGTCAGGTGTCCCTGCACATCAGGGACAGTGGTGAATCCAGTGTGCTGGCCTCGGGGCCAGGACATTTGTCCACACGAGTCCCTGGACAGCACTAGCACTAGAACCAGCAGGATGTGCGTTAATCAGTCACAGAGCAGAGCCGGGATCTCCGGAGGCCGCGGTGGAAGGGAATCTCAGGCACAGAGAGTGTGTGAGCAGCCGATGTGCTGTCAGGGACAGGGGAAGTGGGGAGCTTCTGCGCCTGACTCTGAGCCTGCTGAGGCCACGTCTACCTCTTGCCCATTTTGTGTCTCCAGGGCCTAGAACATGTGCAGGATGAACCCTGAGCCTGGGACACGTGCACCTGTTATGTCTCGGGCAATACACTTTCCTACTGGCAGCAGATGCCCTGCTCAAACAAGCTAGAGAGGACTCCAGTGGCTTGTTTAGCTGAGAGATTCCTGAGCACCTTCAGGTAAAGCTGGATCTAGGTACTTAAATGATGGCCTCTGGGCTTCCTCTCTCAGTATCTCAGCTGTGCTTCTTTCTGTGTGCAGACACTGGACAGTGACAGCTGTGTGAGCAGTTTCCACAGCATGGCACCCTCAGTACACGGGGTCATCTGCAGCACCTGCCAAACCCAATCCAAAACTGGAAACCAGAGAAGACACTCAGTGACTGCTTTCATTTCCCATTCTACTTCCTGAACCAGCCCATTCGGCCAAGGAGGGGGACGGGAGCTACTAATCGCCCAGCCTAGGCCGTTTGCCCCAGCTTGAGGGTCGTCGCTCTGACAGCCCCTTGAAGACCGAGTAGGGAGTAGGGTGTTTTCTCCCGGTGAAACACAAGCAGTACAGCAACATCTGCCTACCACATTTACTTATCCAAGTGCCCAACGCCTGTAGAGACCTCACCAGTTAGCTGGGTTCTGCCCTCCCCTGACCCTCATTCCAAGCCCCCTTGCCCATGCAGACCCAGGGATTTTTACACACCCTCCCTGCCCTCTGTACCAAAGGAGGCATTACCCTGGAGATGCTCACAGCACCAAGTTACTCCATTGCCAATCCCATGGGATAAATACCAGTTTCTTAAATTTCAGAAAATAGCACCTACCTAAGAAGTATTTTATCACACTGCACAGGAATATGTTTCACCCAAAATGGTAGCTGAGAACTTAGCCCCTGTGGGACCAGGTCACGATGGTGGGGGGGGGTCCCCCAGACATGCTGACACTGTCGCTGGCATGACAGGCCATTCCCACATCAAGTAAAACATTGACAAATCATCATTTCTACAAGCTAAAATAATGCTAACAACTGAAGGCAGAATAGGAGTGGGTTTGTCAAAATGAACGTGAAGAATTGAGGGTACAAACTTGGAATGTGGAAAACATCATCTGGGAACCCAGACCATCCACCTCGTCTGGAGTGCGGAGTCTGGGTGCTGGTTTGAGGACAGATTGTGCCCTGAGCCCCGAGGGCCGTGTTGGGGAGAGGGCAGCACAATGCCCCTTCACCGAGAGCCCTGCACATTACTGTCTGCCAGTGGAGATCTTCGGGGTGGCGCCGAGGTTTAGCTTCTGCCTCTGGAGTCAATGTGAGGGTTTGTGCCACATGGTGCACACAGCTGAAGGCCATCAAGGCAGGATTTGCCCTGCATGGTCTCCTACCGCTCCCCAATCACAGGTGAGGCCACTGAGGCACAGGAAGCTTGGTGGTTGGGGCTTAGTGAGGATTTTAGCTTTGGTTTTCCTCTCAGCAGTTCCTGGACCTTCTCAAATCACTGTAATTGCATCTCCCAAATCGTAGGCTAAGAATATGGCAATCAACAGGCAACTTGAAGTCTCAAACCCCTTGCATTTTACAGGTATCTCAACAGGGTTCCGTTTACCCAGCTGCCGGATTCTCTGCAGTCGCTCCTGGGCTTGGGCCTCTCCCCAGGCAGGACACTGTACCGTTGTAGCTTGGGTTGCTTTTGTTTCTTTGTGGGTTAGCTTTCTGCACCTGCGAACAGCGCAGACCTTCTGCCCCCCAAAGCACCCAGGCTAACAAACGGTAACGCTTCCGTGGTGCCCAGCCCCTGCTGGAAATAATTCTTATTTCCCGTGAGACACACACTAAGGACCTCTGAATGTCTTAAACTTAAATACATGGAATTTCACAACCTCTTAATAATCAGATTTCTCCACTGATAGGATTCAAAACAAAATCAGCAATTGACAAGTGTTAAATATTTCCTTGCTGCTAATCATGCTCTCCCCAGCACCATTTTTTCCCTCCTCTAACTCTTCTAACATGAATTTATTTTCTATTTGAAAGCCAATCTCTCTGGTTATTAGATATTCTCCCTGCTGTCACTATCAGTAAATTATTAAACAGCTGACCAAGCTTTGTTAAAATGATTCTCTTATGAAGCCCGGTGATATATTCACCATGAATACTGAATGGCGCCGTGGTCTCTAAGGACAAGTGAATGATTCCTATTTACTACCTTTAGCAAAATGTGTGTGCAATTAGCAGCAAGTGCCGCCTTGGCTCACAATTCCTGGAGAGGCCTGTGGCCGATTTCCGTGGAGGGCTCCCCCACCTCACGACACTCCCACCTGGGAGAAGCAGGTGAAGCTTCTGGGCCATTCGCGAAGTAGCAAATAGACTTCGCCTCCCTCCCTCGTCTTGACACCCCAGGGTCCCCGCATGCCTGTGGGAACGCCTGCCTTGTTTAACGGAGCAGCTGGCTCTAAGTGGATTTCCACTCAAAGAAAATGAACCTGATGGGGACAGAAATCACCGGTGTCCCCTCTTCCTCGTGGGTAAGCTGGAGGTCACAATTGCTGCCTTGGGGATTCCAGGGTGGAAACAAAGCGCTGGGCACTCACGTGGCAGTAGTGGCTCTCAGGCCCTCAGCTGCTTTTTTTCCTACCATCTCCTGCACTGGACCAGCTTTTCTGGGTGGCAAAGACAGACACCCATCTCAAGTTGACCTCAGCCAAACAGAAGAGCTGTGAGCTTACCTCATCAAGCAGGAGTTAAACAGGCAAGGCCCAACCATAACCTGGAAATCAGAAATTGCTCTAAGTCTTTACAATGGAGACTAAATGTCGGCAGTCAGTTATGCGGATGACATAGGAGTTAGGAAGCCACCAAGGGGTGAAGTGGCAACCCAGACATAGCAGAGACCAAGAAGCCACTAGCAGTCCAAAGAGGGAGGGACAAAGGTGCTGGAGGCCGAGGACTGGGGCAGCTGATGCCAAGGAGGGCACTGCTTTACTGCTGGAGAAATGTCTCAAAGCAGACGCCCCCTGCTTTTCCCCTGCCCACGCGTGCAGTCAGTACCTGGGGAAATTCAGTCACCAGGGCTCACCCCTCTGAACGCGGAGCAGGGATTAGAGGTAAGGCACGGATCTGAAAGTAGACAGGCTCAGGGTCAGCCTTGGTCACCAGGACGCTGCCAGCCCCGTTCCCCCAGCACCTCACCACTTACCGCAGAACAGAGCGCAAGGCTGAGTGGACCCCAGCATGGACCCCAGCTCCATCTTCAAACAGACTGCGGCATTCTTCACTCCAATATGAATGACCCTGGTTGGTCCCAGGCTTCTCCCGTGAACCAGTGACGGTGGTTGGGCTGTGGAGCCTTGTGAGCTGCCTAACTTGAATCAGGTGCCCATTGTTGCGGCCAGCAGGGTTGAGTGTGAGAATCAGGTGGGGCGGGGGAGGAGAAAAGAAAAAACTGGTGTCCCCAGGTCAAGATAGGCTTATTCTCCCAGTGGACGGAATTGGAAAGTGAGGGAATGTGGTGGAATGAGAAGGCCATGCCAAGGTGGCCACTGGCAAGCAAGTGTCAGTTACTCAGGAATGGCTTTGAAACACACCTGGCAATAGAGTCTGCCTGGCAACAGGCTGTGATTGGTTGGGGCACAGACCGCCCCTTGACCAGATTGGCTGGTCTTGACTATATAAGATGTTATTCCAACTGTAATAATCGAGTCTGCCTCAAGCCTGCTTTCACCGGACTCCAGGGGTCTGTGTGGTGACTGCGCGCCTCTTGCCCCCACCATGCTGCTCCTCTCAGAAATGAATCCACTGCAACTTTGTTGAGAAATCTACGGCAACAAGGGAGTGTGCTGGTCATTAGCCCTGTGCACTGAATAGTTCCAATTCTCCTTCCAGAGATATGGGTGATGTTTCCCCATTCCCTTAGAAGTAACGACTTGACTTGCTTTAGCCAAGAATATGAGAAGAGACACCCGTTGCTCTGCTGGACGCTCTAAAGCAGGGAGCAGTAGGCCATTTCCTCCTTGCCTGCGCCACAGCAACTGGCAAAAGTTTCAGATGGTGGCATGGGGCAGTTTCTGGCTAATCCCCAGGGAGCATGCGATGTGGGCCAATGTCGCTCCCCCTCTTCGTGGAAGAACGACACAGGACCCTGCACTGTTCTTTCGTCTGCTCGGCCCTCCCCGGGTTTGCTGCTGGTTCTTCCCGGGTTGGCTACCATCCCTTCCACCTCCGTGGAAGGGCGGTTCCCCCTAGCCACTTTCCCCACTTCCGCGGGGGAGCGGCACACCACCTGCCGGCTCTCTCGGGGGCTGCACAGGTGTTCCTTCAGATAGATGTTCCCCTTAGATGTTCCTGGTGCATGTTGTCTCTCTCCTCCTTTATAGTCCTCTTCCACCAATCCCAGCTCTGCTACCCACACGCCGAGTACGCTGCTCTCCTCCAATCAGGAGCAGGTCCTACAGTTTATTGGTTGAACTGGAGGCAGCTGTGTAGAAGCTATTACTCCCTTCTCAGCACCATATTGTGGGAGAGCAGATGCATAGAATAAGTCTTAATTCCAGTAACTTAGTCTAGTCCGAGTTGCTCCCCACAGGCCAATAAATAAACCTTTGTGTCTTAAGTCACTGCAATTTGGTGCTGATCCCTCAAAGCATAGTAACCTGGACTGTCCAGGCTAATTCTATAAAAAAAGGTACTTCAGGGGACAGCGCTGTGGCACAGTAGGCTAAGCCTCTGCCTGTGGCGCCTGCATCCCATAGGGGCGCTGGTCCGTCCTGGCTGCTCCTCTTGCAATCCAGCCCCCTGCCTATGGCCTGGGAAAGCAGTGAAAGATGAACCAACTGCGTGGGCCCCTACTCCAGCATGGGAGACCTGGAAGAAGCTCCTGGCTCCTAGCTTTGAATGGGCTCAATGCCAGCCATTGTGGCCATTTGGGGGTGAACCAGCGGATGGAAGACCTCTTTCTGTGTTTCTCCATCTCTCTGTCTATAACTCTGCTTCTCAAATAAATAAATAAAATCTTTTTTTTAAAAAAAAGGCACTCCAAGCAGTGATTCTCTTAAACTTTGACCAGAGCAGCTGGCCATCATAATATAGCTTGTCACTGCAGTCTTGAACAGCTAAAACTGTCAGTAGATGAGACAGAAATTGTGTATTACCTGTCATTGCTGGCATCATCAACCACGAAGTCACCCTTGTGTCCCTCACACTTGCCAATGTCTTTGCCCAGCCTCATCATGATGACTGTAATAAAAGCTGCCATTTGTTGAATCATTTACCAAATGCCACACACCATATAAAGCATCTCCTGGCATATTATTTTCACAAGTCTGTGGCAAGCCGTCTTGCCCCAATATTTCAGATGTGAAATCCAAGGCTCAGGATAGCAGTCTACTGTCCCCAAAGTCCCATAGATGCTGAAGCTGGAGTTCAGCTTGTCCTGCTCCCAGAGTGGTCCCATTGACTTCACCTGGCTTAGGGCTCAGCAGCAGGTGTTGGCTGAGTCAGGAAGAACCAGATGGTGACTTGAGCAAAGCAAGCCCACCACTGACTATGCTCCTACAGGAGTTGACTTATTGGGGTCCGTGCTGTGGCTCAGTGGGTTTAGCCATTTCCTGTGACACTAGCATCCCATATGGCACAGGCTCCAGTCCCAACTGCTCCACTTACGATCCAGTTCCCTGCTAATGCACCCAGGAAAGCAACGGAAGATGGCCCAGATTCTTGGGCCCCTGAACATGTGTGGGAGACCCAGATGAAGCTTCGAGCTTCAGCCTGGCCCAACCCTGGCCATTGCAGCCATTTGGGGAATGAACCAGCAGATGAAGAAGGCTTGCTCACTTGCTCTTTCTCTCTTTTTTTAAAAGGTTTGTTTGTTTGTTTATTTGAAAGTCAGAGTTACACAGAGAGAGGAGAAGTAGAGAGAGAGGTCTTCCATCTGATGGTTCACTCTCCAATTGGCTGCAACGGCTGGAGTTGTGCCGATCTGAAGCCAGGAGTCAGGAGCTTCCTCCGGATCTCCCACACGGGTGCAGGGTCCCAAGGACCTGGGTCATCTTCCACTGCTTTCCCAGGCCACAGCAGAGAGCTGGATCGGAAGAGGAGTAGCTGGGACTAGAACTGGCACCCACATGGGATGCCGGCACTTCAGGCAGGCCAGGGCGTTAACCCACTGTGCCACAGCGCCAGCCCCTCGCTCTTTCTCTTTGCCTCTCCCTCTCTCTCTGTTACCTCTGCCTTTCAAATACATAACTAAATCTTAAAAAAAAAAGAAAAAAAGGAGCTGACTTACTGAAAAGTGGATGCCTGGCCATAGTGAAGAATCCGGCTGCCATCAGTCAATCCCATATTTTAATTAATGACCACGTTTTCCAGCAGGCTGTAACAGGAAGGAACGAGATAGGCTGTATCCATCCGTTAGAATGAGAGGAGGTTCCATGGAGATTGTGGAGTCAAAATCCGACCCTGTTCTTCTTCAGAGGCACTGGCCTGCGTCACACATATCCCTTCCTCCATGCCTGAATCTGCACAGCCTCAGGTGAGAGCACTTGCTATCTGTTGGAAAAATAGTCCAGTGTGCGGAAGCAGTTTTTTGATAAGGCAGTAATTACTGGAGTGATTTTAACAGGTACAAAGGCATTTTTAATAGTTTTAATTATTCAGAAGCCTGATTAATTATCTAGTCCATGGATCAGAGGCCAAAGGGGAATAAAACTCTATGAAAATGGTTACCATGACAGGGTGAAGGGAGAACTCAGCTGCCTTCAAACAGCAAGCTGCTCTCTGTGACATTCTAGTTAAATCTTTTGTGTCCTGCAGGGCTCATCCTACAGAGAGTGAACCACTGGGCTGGACACGAAGAGACCTGGGTCCCAGGGCTGGCTCCACCACTGAGCCACTGCATCCCTGGCTAATTCACTTTCCCTTACCAGGACTCTACATTAAAGGAGAGGGTGAGGATGTAGGGAATGCAGCAGTTGGTCTCAAGGCCTCTGGCAGGAGCTGATTCTCCATCATTCGTTGGAGCTCAGAGAATCCACTGAAATTCTTTCTCTGTGGACAATGAAAATCCGGGGAAAGTTTATGAACCTATTTGGGGTTAAGAAAATAGTTGAGCACCTGTGTAAGATGGGTCAGCCTGGGAGGGGGTGACATGACCTGTGTCAGGCAGATGAATGTGTTCCTGTAAGGATGGATGTCTGCTTTTGGGTAGAGAAAAAAAAAACAACCTCCCCTCATTGAGCATTTATTGAGCACCTCACCTATACATGCAGAAACACAGAGCATTTGCATCAAGGATCCCTTGCTCAGGCAGCCAGCCACTGGTGGGTCTATTTGGATGGTGGTGGCAGAATATTCTGGAAGCAGAGACATTGTCCATGTTGGTTGCCTTCGTGAGTTGTGCCCTCAGCCTGTGTGTGAAGTTTCTCTGAGACCCCTTGATGAGACCGTGTCAGAGGCCATGTGGGCTCAAGGGTTTCCTCAAGGAGTAACTCGCCTCACCTCCAACACAGCTCCGCTGGGTTTCATCCAGGTTCAAGGGGCAGGGATCCCAACACGAGAAAGTTCCCATAAGCATTGAGAGACCTGACAAAAGCTTCAAATGTCTTCTCTTGGAGGTTCCTCCAGCAACACACAGTGAGTGTCCCCTTGGCTGTCTCCTGGAGCATTGCACAGTGGTTAAGAGCATGAGCCCGGGAGCTAGATTACTGGTTTAAATCACAGCTCTGCCACTCTCTGGCTCTGTGGCCCTACACAAGTCCTGTAACCTCTCACTGACTCCTTTGCCATATATGTAAAAATTGTTATAAAAATTTAAATGAAGCATCGTACATGGACTTAATGTGTGTGCCCCTTCCCGAATTCATGTCAAAATTCCAATATGATGGTATTTGGAAACAAGACCTTTTTGCAGTAATTAGGCTGTGAGGACCTAGAGAACAGGGTTAATGTCCTTATAAGAGGCCAGACTGAGGCTGCACTGTGGTGTAGTAGGTAAAGCCACTGCCTGCAGTGCCAGCATCTCATATGTATGCCTGTTCAAGTCCTTTCTGCTCCACTTCCCATGCAATTCCCTGCTAATGTGCCTGGGAAAGCAGCAGAAGATGGTCTAAATACTTGGGCCCCAGCACCCATTTGGGAGACTCGAAAGAACCTCCTGGATCCTGGATCCTGGCTTTGGATCAGCCTGGCTCTGGCCATTGCAGCCATTTGGGGAGTGAACCAGTGGATGGACGATTCTCTTTCTCTTTCTCTTTCTTTCTCTAATTCTGATTTTCAAATAAATAAATAAATCTTTAAGGAGAAGAAGAACAGGAAGCCAAGGGTCAGATGTTTGGCACAGCAGTTAAAAGGGGACTTGAGATGACCACGTCCCATATCGAGTGCCTGCATTTGAGTCCCAGCTACTCTGCTTCTGAGTCCAGCTTCCTGCTAATGCACACACATTGAGTGATGTCTCAAATAGTTGGGTCCCTATTACTTATGTGGGCGAAACCCAGATTGAGTTTGGGGCTTCTGGCTTCAACCTAGCCCAGCCTGGCTGTTGTGGGTATTTGGGGAATGAAACCAGCAGATGGAAGATCTTTCTTTGCCTCTGTCTCTCTTTCAGATAAACAAGTTAAAAATAATTTTTAAAAGATTTGAGTCTTTAAAAAAGAAGAGGGAGAGGAAAGAGAAGCAGCAGCGAGTATCACGCAGAGCGGGTTAAACCACCACTTGGGATGCCGCCATCCCGTATCAGAGCACTGGTTCAAGTCCTGGCTACTCCACACTTCTGATCCAGCTTCATGCTAATGTCCCTGGAAGGCAGCACCTGATGCCCCAAGTGCTTGAGTCTCTGCCACCTACATGGGAGACCTGGATGGAGTTCCTGGCCCAGTGAGCCACTAGACAGAAGATCTCCACCACAGCCCCCAGCACATCTCTGTCATCCTGCCTTTCAAATGAATCTTGGAAAAGAAGGAGAGATAGGCGTGCTCACTAGCACTCTTTCTGCTCTACACCAAGGAGCCATCAGTCTGCAGCCTGGCAAAGTGCTCTCACCAGAACCTGACCCTGCCGGCGTTTGATCTCACACGCGTCCATTGCTTACAAGCCGCGCAGCCCATGGTAGTCTGGTGGTAAAGGAGCATGACCTGAATAAGCCTTGTCTGTGCACAGGACATGTGATAGAAATGATTGATAAATAATCGCTATCTTGCTTTGTGCAGTTTCTTCAATTCCCTAGCATTAAGACAGCCCATTTCTAAAATGGGATAGTAACCCTTATATATGTATTTGACCAATATTTACTGAGCTCCTTTTAAGTGCCCGTCACTGCTTTGGGAGCTGAAGATACTGCATTCAATAAAACAAGGTTCCTGTCCTTGTGGACTTTGCATTCTTGTGAGTGGAGGAAGTGGACAAGAAGACAACCAAATAAACATGACACTGAAAACACATAAGGCAGATTCATGTAGTACTGTGTGCTTTTTTAACATATGGTGGTCAGGAAAGGTCATGATGACATGAGCTGTGATCTGAATCAGCTGAGCAAGTGTTCTGGAGGCAGAAAGTAGAGTCCACTCATGGAGTATAGCAGGTGCAAAGGACCTGAGGTGGGACTATGCATTCAGATGCAGGGAATAGCTATGAGACCACTGTGGCTGGAGCAGAGCTGGCGAGAAGAAAGCAGTGGGTGGGACTGCAAGGGGAGATGCACGTCCTGGAGCCCAGAGTCTCACAGCCGGGGCAGGACACGGGGAGTGTACAAAGTGTGCTCGGGAGCCATCAGGGGGACTCGCGGGAAGAGTAACAAGGGCTGACACAGACACAAAGAACCATGACCCATAGCAGAATGTGGTGCACTGGGGACACACGAAGCACTCAACCAGTTAGGGAGTGAGGTTATTTCACACTTGAGAGTGCAAGAAAGCATCAAAGAGGAAACTGTTTGAACTGAGTAGATATGAAACAGGAAGAAGCCAGGAAGCCCAAGGAAAGCTGTGAGCCTAATGTTGATGTGATTCATTCATTCACTCGTTCATTCATGCACTCACCACTGTGCTGCACACTACACTAAGTGCTAAGAATACAGTGATGTATCCGGTTTTTCCACCCAGCACCTGTCTTCAGGGAGTTCACTATGCAGGATGTATGGAGTGGGTGAGACTGCTGTTAGTCCTTGTTAAGCCACCAAGATTCTGGCCTTTTGTGTTATTGCAGAATGACATCCTTTGGTGGTGGTCTCCACTACTGAATGAGGTGCTATTTGCATGTTAGCTTCTCCATTAAAGACAGGCAGATAATTGTCACGCAGACTGTGACACGATGACATTCTGCCTGGTTGAGACAGCTCCATCAGCAAACCCACTTCATATTTCCATAATCAGCTTCAAGAAAGCCAGTGCCACACATTTGGCGAGGGTAGTATCAAGGTCCTACTAATGGTTCATTGTCTCAAAGTAAAGCATGAAAAGCAAAAATGGAATCTATGTGAAGACTGCAAGCCATCCCAGAGAGGAGCGACCTGGCCCCTGTGCTAACCAAGCTCTTCAAGGAGTGCTTATTTTGTGCCAGGGATTTTGCTAAGTGTTTCACAATCAGTGGCTTGTGTCATCCTCAAAACGGTCTGCGGTCCCCGTTCATCCTGGTTCTTCAGGGTGCACTGCCCGCATCCAGCTGCTACTCGGGCAGGACCTGGCCTGTGGGCTTTCTCTTCCTGTCACTCCCTCCCTACACGGACCATGTGGCAAGCCAGGAGCATCAGGAGATTCACACCTCCTCCTTGCACACGTTCTCACACATGCCCATGCACAGGCATGCACTCGCGTACAAGAGCAACCCTCACTCGAGGATGGATGGGAGTCGGGGGTGAACACTGGAGCTCCCTCATCCCTTGAGTGTGTGTCTTACATGGTCTCCCAGAGCCCCCCAGCGGAAGTGAGCTTATGGCACCCAAAGTGCTAAGTTTCCTGGTAACTCACCCACTTATCACCCACTTCTCTTTCCTGTCTCCCTTTACTACTCATCTACCTTCACCTCCCAATTCACTACTTGCTCTTAAATCCTTGTCTCTGCACTCTGACCTCAGAATCAGCCCTTAAGGCATTCTGGTCTGGCTGAAAAGCCCACGAGAGCATTTCAGGCATGGAAAGCCAAGACACTGTGGCAAAAAAAAGGCCTACATGAAGGACCTTGGTGGGTGAGATCCCAGTGGAAAGAAGTGGCCATCAAAGAAGGATGTACTTTTCTCTGAAGGGAGGAGAGACCTTCCACTTTGCTTATGGCCTTGTCTAAATACTGATGGGGACTGTGGATTCAAAAGCCTTCCATAGCCTGTGCAACTCATGTCAAGAGCCTCAGGTGATCATTGACATCATATCTAAGAGTGTTAATGGTTAAATTAACAACAGGAGTCACTCCGCACTAACTTTCCATGCAGAACCTCTGTCCTCAAAGAGTTGTATTATGAGAGTTAGCAGTAAAACTTGTTCTCAAAGATTTATTTCATTTTAGTATATTAAGTGGAGGATATTCTTATGTCAAGTAAGTTTCAGTTATGCCTTAGTGTCCAACTCCATTGCTTGTTTTCTTAGGTGCTTCCTTAATTAATGATAAAACTTGTTCTCAAGTACTTACTTTCTTTTAATGTATTAAATGGAGGCTATTCTTATGTCTCACAAGTTATAGTTATGTCTAAATGCTTGCAAAAGATGTATCATTTTTGGATGCTTCTTTAAAGTTAATTAAGTTTCTAAAAAAAGGAGTGAAATTAACTTCAAAATGCAATGACTTTGAACAGCCCTTGTCTCCACTGTTGAGGAACGTTTTTTTGTGTGTGCAAATTGTTGAACTCTTTACTTAGTATAGAGTATAGTATAGAGTTGGTCTTCTGAGTATAAAGTTAATTGAAGATGGATCTTAGTGGAGAATGGGACTGGGAATGGGAGAGGGAGGAAGATGGTATGGTGGGAAGAATCACTATATTCCTAAAGTTGTACTTATGAAATGCATGAAGTTTGTATTCCTTAAATAAAAGATTTCTTTGGGGGAAGAAAATCCTTGTCTCAGAATCTTCCAGATGCACAAGCAGCCTTGTGAGGGAGCAAGGTGCATTATTACCACCCTTATCTTACAGTCAAGAACTGAATCCAAGAGACTGAATAAGTTGCAACCTCACCGAGCTGGAAGGTGGTAGATCCTGGCCTCAAACCCAGCCACCAGACTCCAAACCCCATGCTGTTAACCCAGAGCTCTGCTGCCTCTGGCTAAGATAACAAACCCAAACTACTCTGCCCCAGCCTCGTCTCACTGGCTTTGTGAGACACCCAGGTTGGGGCGGGGCGCCAGGGATGAGCACACATTTCTCCAGGTTCATCGATAACCTCCGCTTTGGAGAGTCCAGCATGTAATTCAGAAGTGTGTCTGAGAAGGTATTTGATGTGAGTTTCAATGCAGTGGCAGCCACAAGGTGATCCATCAGCCAGCTCTCTTTGACAGAGAATTGATCTCCCGGGTCAGAAAGCAAACCTCAATTTACGTAGGATGCACTTGGAGAGCGCCCTCTTAGTAGCACACGGAAGATAAAGCACAGTCAATGACAGTTCTTGTCAATGAGTTTGTTGTGGCAAGAGGGGCCCCGCGAGGCTCCTGCCTGTGAGTGCTGACACTCCAGACATATGGCTTTTTGGTTTTGCTTTTTTTTTTTTTTTTTTTTTTTTTGCTGTTGTATGATAAACATTTTGCCCGAGTCTTTTAGCCCTGCCTGTCAATTCCTTGATGTTTATGTTTCCGAGTCCTCTTTTGATCCAGGTATCTTCATCTAATAGCACAAAAGCAAAATGAGCGCTCACTTGGTTCCCAGGCCATCAAGCATTCTCTTCCTTTCAAACTGATCTTTCTGATTTTTCAATTTTGTTTCATGTCTGGGTGAGCAATTTCAGAACCACAAGGCTGGTGAAGTCTCAGCTTCCCCACTCAGGATTTCTTGCCTTTGCACAAAAAGAAAAAGCCCGTTGTAGCAAATTGTCTGTGTGATTCATTTGTTGTAGGCACTGATGAAAAATATTTTTTTCTTAAAGATATTTTCACAATCCTGGACCGTGATGATAGGAAATAACCTGAAAAGGTGAGGAAAGCAAGATGTTAAAATTTATAGATTTATTTTGTCATTAGAAAATCCATCCTTTTCGCTTTGGGGGGAAATTTGAGCTGTAGAAGATGAGAAATTGAGGAATGGAAGATCTATTCAAAACTGCCTCCATGGCTCAGAGTGTTGTGTTTTCAAAATACAAGTTTATTTTTCTTATGGCAAGGTTTCCTGTTCTTTCTTCATACTTTAAAGAAATAAAAAGTCATGTGAATGGTGTCTTCCTGCTTCTCTCACCAGCTCACCACTTCGGCCAACACTCAGAAGTAGTTTAGAAGCAGGAAGCAGGACAGCAGTTGTGGCGCAGTAATGTCACCACTAGGATTGGCTTGGCATGTCCACATCCCTTGTCACAGTGCCAGTTTGTATCCTGGCTTCTCTGTCTCCAACCCAGCTTCCTACTAATGCATCCTGGAAGCAACATGATGGCGCGAGTGCGTGAGGCCCTGCCGCCCACATGGAGACCAGGATGGACTTCCTAGCTCCTGACTGCTGGCTCTAGCCTGGCCTAGCCCTGGATGTTGTAGCCATTAGGGGAGTGAAACAGAAGATATTCTCTCTCTCTCTCTCCTTCTCATCTCTATCCCTATCCCTCCCTCCCTCTCTCTCCCCTCTCTCTCTTCTCTCTGCCCTTCAAGTAGATTTTTATGAATAAATAAGATGGAAGGAGAGAAAAGCCATAGTATATGGAGGAACTTCTTTTAGCTCCAACATAGTAGTTCCCTCAATGGCCATTTACAATGAAAGTGGATCGTCCACACCTCATGTAGCTCCTCCTGTACACATTCAGTCTTTAATGTCTCCGTTAAGGAAAGCCCATCTTATCCTTCCCATCATCTCAGCCACAGAACAGCGGGCTGAGTCAAGACACAGACTTTCCCAGCATGCTCCAGTCAGCAAATATACCTTGGGGACCTTCTACATGAAGATACCCGTCGGATTCTCAGAAGCCAGGGAGATAAATCTTAGGCCATGGTGGTCGTGAGAGCCAAGGTCATGCTGTGGCACAACCACAAAATCTCAGAGGCTTGAGACAACCAAAGGGCATCTCTTGCTTATGCCATATATCAGTTGTGGAAATGGGGGGGGAGGGGGTGCTCTGCTATACACTGACTTCACTTAGGGACCCAGGCTGAAGAGTGTCTTTGCCGTTCTGTGATTGTGAGGGCAGTGGAAAGGGACATGGAGAATCCCACACTGACTCTCAAAGACTGCATCTGGGAATGACACCAGTCATTCTGCCCGTATTTCATTGGCCAAAGAAAATTGTCCAGACATGGCTTTAACTCAAGGATGTAGGAAGACAAGGCCCTGCATGCCCACAAGAGGGCGTAACTAAAGCATTTGGTGACCCACTCACGCCAGCCACACTCAACTCTGGACGTGGAGGAGCTCAATTCTTTTAAAGATGCCAAAAGAAAAAAAAAATTTAGCAGGTCCCTAGGACAGAAACAAATTATATGTCAACAAATTCAAAGAAGGCAGAACCCACTCAGGGACCTGGGCCTTGGGGCGGGATTTTCACAGGTAGAGCTGAGGAGCTGGTCTTATTAGGTGCAAGGCAGAGCAAAGGTGAGAGCCCAAGGATGCAGGAGTTACCTTGCGAGATGATGAGAGGGTCGTTTTGTCTGCAGCCGAACGTGTCACAGTTTGGGAAGGTATCAGAACTGAGAAAGGGGTTGGGATCGGCTCATGGGAAACTTCTGTGCCAGGCTATGGAGGCTGAATTTCTATGAACAGACTGGGGCATCGAACATTCATTCACTCATTCATTCATTCAATAAATAGACATGTGCAAGATGCTGGGCTCTGGGAACACAGCAACAAAGTGATGAGGATGGAGGGAAGGGGATGACTTCAAAAGAGACTCTGGAAGCCTCACTCAAAGATTCGGGTGAATTTATAAAGGGCAAGTGACAAGGTGACCATGGAGACACCGAGTATGCTGGAGCCACATGCCCCGAGAGCACAGGAAGAATGCAAGCGGCTGGGCCACGGGAGGAGCCGGTTTGCCACACACTCAGTTGAGGCGCCGGGAGCAGCACAGGGTCCGCCCGCATTTCAGTGCAGCTCGTCAGGTGGGTCATGAGCCCTCCGGGGACACTGCTGCTGCTGGACCCTGAGCCTCTCAAGCACTTAGCACCCCAGGGGACACCACTCTGGCTTCCCGCCTTTGTCTCCAGCAGCCGCCATCTGGGCCTCTGTCTCTGGCATGGAGCCGCTCTCTGACACGCTGTCCCTGGAGATGCCCCCAGCACGGCCAGTGCAGGAGCGTAAGAGCTCAGGTATCGGGGCCGGTGCCGCGGCTCACTAGGCTAATCCTCCACCTAGCGGTGCTGGCACACCGGGTTCTAGTTCCGGTCGGGGTGCTGGATTCTGTCCCGGTTGCCCCTCTTCCAGGCCAGCTCTCTGCTGTGGCCCAGGAAGGCAGTGGAGGATGGCCCAGGTCCTTGGGTCCTGCACCCACATGGGAGACCAGGAGAAGCACCTGGCTCCTGGCTTCGGATCAGCACAGTATGCCTGCCACAGTGCACCGGCAGCAGCAGCCATTGGAGGGTGAACCAACGGCAAAGGAAGACCTTTCTCTCTGTCTCTCTCTCCTCTCTCTCTCTCACTGTCCACTCTGCCTGTAAAAAAAAAAAAAAAAAAAAAAAAAAAAAAAACTCAGGTGTCGGGACAACAAGACGTCACTCATGTCCCAGGCTTCCCTATGGGATGGGGCCAGAGCTCCCCTCTGCAGGACCTGGGCCTGAAACCACATGCCTGCTTGGCCTCCTCCCCCTCCCTGGCCTTCTTCCTCCATCCCTAACTCGTTTCTCTTGGGAGCATTTTCTAATACTTGCAAACAAATTCCCATCTCAAGGTCTGTTTCTGGGGCGCACAGCCTGCATCCAGCACCTGCAGGGAGCCAGGATCTTTGAAGGACACTGGCGATTCAAAAATCTAGCCTGGGTTTCTCAGGAACTCTCCATCTAGTACAGAGACAGACACATCATTGCCGATTTCAATTCAACATGTAAAGAGGTGATGTAAGAGCAAGACGCAGGGGGTGAAGGGTGGAGGCATGAAAATGGGGTCAAGAGCTGTGCCTCCCTCTAAGGGAGTCAGGGAGGGCTTCACAGAGGAGGTGATTCTCAGACTGGATCTTCACGGATGAATAGGATTTTACTGAGGGGACGGGACGGTTATTCAGTCAACAGACACGAAAGGATGGGGAAATGAGGTATGGGGATAAGGGACAGCAGTGAGCAGAGACCATAAATGATGGCAGGAGCCACTTGGGTGAGGGATGCAGGCTGGCAGAGCAGGGCTGGCCCACAAGGAAGTGGTCCCAGAGCTGATCATGGTGGGAAGACACTCCCTTAGACCTGTACTCCCAGCCCATGGTGGTCTCTGAGGAGCCAGGGTCCCCCACCCAGAGGGTCTGGACAGCGCCTACAAACCGTCTCTCATTAAATGAGGTTGTGCCCAGTGAAACTGGCTGCCAGGGAGACAGAATGGATAAGCAGAAACTGAGTTTGTCTGGGCAACACTTTCAGTTTGGGTTCTCCCAGAAATGGGCTCTGGGACACGAATTCTTCAGGAGATGCAAGGAAATACCAGTAAAGCAGTGGGGAAGTGAGGCAGGGAAGGCAGGCAGCCAACACGGGGCATGTCAGCAGCAAGCTAATTACCCCATGGGAGCTTCAGTCCAGGAGACTGGGGAAGGGGGTCGCGCACACACACCTGAGCCTGCCCATCTCACCGCCAAGTCCCTGAGAGGCAGCAAAGCGCCAGCAGGAACAGTAGTGCCAGCACTGGGAAGTCAGGCTACGGTGCCTGGAAGCAGCAAAAGCCAGGGAGTTTGAGCAGGCGTCGTGCAGGCTCCTCCCCTCCTGCTTCTCTCTCCTCTCCCAGCTGCATGGGCAAACACCTCCAAGAGCCTGATTTCTGCCCCCTTTCTCCTCCTTGTGAAGGTTGTAAGAAGAATCAGAAAGAAAAGCACCAAAGAGGAGGCGCTTATATCCATCCCAAAGCCATTCAAGTTTTATGGCCCCTAACCTGTCTGGGGCCAGCGTATTTGCCAGTTGGCACAGAGTTTTTTCCCACTACGTAAAGCAGGTGAGCAACAGAGAAAGCTGGCTCGTAACAGCCCTTCCACAAAGCTGAGGTGTAACGTGGCTCAGAGTCTCCAAGACCCTGGTTCTTTCCACCTGGAGACACCCGTGTGAAGTTGCTTTGAACACCACGTTCTACTAAAGCAGAGAAGTGTGCATGCTTTTTAGTGTCCCGACCATAAGCAAATACAGAGTTTTGTTGTTTTTTTTTTTTTTTCTAACCCAGTGGTTTGCGAACTGCTCCGGAGCATAGGAGCTCTGCAGAGCTGTCTCAGGCAGGTGAGGGAGGGGGAAGGGAAAGATTTTTCTACTCTGAATTCCTGTCTCAAGTTTGGGTCCCCACAGAAGATCACCTCGAGACAAAGGTTTAAGTGAGAGTCAAGTACTTTGGGGTTGATCCCAGGAACCAACAATGGGGGAGGAAGGAAGTGAGAAGGGGAAAGAGAGGCAGCTAACAAAGGGTGTGTTCTCGGCCGGCACCGCGGCTCGCTAGGCTAATCCTCCGCCTTGCGGCGCCGGCACACCAGGTTCTAGTTCCGGTCGGGGTGCCGGATTCTGTCCTGGTTGCCCCTCTTCCAGGCCAGCTCTCTGCTGTGGCCCGGGAGTGCAGTGGAGGATGGCCCAAGTGCTTGGGCCCTGCACCCGCATGGGAGACCAGGAGAAGCACCTGGCTCCTGGCTTCGGATCAGCGTGGTGCGCCGGCCGCGGCAGCCACTGGAGGGTGAACCAACGGCAAAAAGGAAGACCTTTCTCTCTGTCTCTCTCTCTCTCACTGTCCACTCTGCCTGTCAAAAAAAAAGGGGGGGGGGGGGGGGGTGTTCTCAGTGCAGTCACCACTCGGGCAACCGAGCTGGTGCCTCCCGAGGAACTCTATGGGCCCATCAGGATCACGGGTCTCAGGGACAGTCCACCTGAGACACAGGAGCTGGTGTATGGCCCCCGCACTGAGGTGGGCACTGGGCCCAGCTTACAGGTAAAACACCACTTAGGCTGACTGTGTCCCTCATCAGTGCCCCTAGGTTCAATGCCCACTGCCAGGTTCCGGCTAACGTGCACCCTGGGGGGCAGCAGGTGCAGTGGCTGGGTCTCTGGCCCCCATGTGGGAGATCTGGATTGAGTCCCCAGCTCCTGTCTTCACCCCAGCCCAGTCCCGGCCATCGTGGGCATTTGGTAGGCAAATCAGCAGGTGCATGCATGCTTAGTTAGAGAAATGGATGAATAGATGGAAGGATGGGTGGATGGATGGATAGATGAGATTGACCTGTCTCTGTTTCTTAAATGAAACAAAAAATAAATACATACTCCAACTCCCCTTTGTCGCTTGTCAAGGCTAGTTCCCAGCACGCGCAGCCTGCTAAGTAGGTAGCAAAATGGACTCTGGACGTCAGAGAAAAGCCTTGAGGGGGTGGGCCTGGGAGACGTGGGCTGGAATAGGATTCAGTGGAATGAATTTTGCAGAGCAAAGAATATGGAGGGAGCACCAATGGCATGGGCTACAACTCCCTACTCCTCTTCCTCTGAGAAGAGAGGCTTCGGCCTCACCTGATTCATGTTCCTGGTGTTGGGTTTAAGTGCAACTTGACTAGAGATGTGCAAACAACAACAGAAAAGGGGTTTCAAAACTTCCGTTCTGAGCCAACATCCTTATTTTACAGACAAGGACTCAGACACCCTGGAAAGGGAAGTGTGGGACTGGGCCTGGGGTGTCCGGAGCCTCGGACCAGGGCTCCTACCACTCGGCACTCATTTTAGCCGAAGCCCGTGTCTGCTGTGATTCCATTTTTCCCACTTCCATTTCTTCACATTATCCTTGCTCTCCACGTATGCCCCCGTGACCTTAGCCCACGGCTTCCCAGCATCCGCCACTCTGACATCTCTGCTAGTCATACATAACGCCATTCTCTCTGCATCTTTATCCAGCTCCTTTGACAAAACCTTTTATACATTTGCAAACAGTGACCAAAAGTATGAAAACCAGAGGATTTCTGTTGGCACAACCACTGTGGAATTAAACGTAAATACTCCACTTGGCTGGGACAACATGCTGCGCTGATAAAACAGCTTTTGCAAACTCAGTATCAAGGGGTCTGCTGCTAATACAGCTGCCCATTGTTGCTCATGTTTGAGAATTATTCAAAAGGCATTGGGATGCTTTCTATGTTAGATGTGGATGTCTTAATTTATAAAAAGCCATTGTGCTTTCTCTTAATCTCCGATCCTCAGTACCTGGCACTCCTTCTAGCACATAACTGGTCCTCAATAAATGTTTGCTTGCTGGATGAAAAAAAAAAAAAGCTAAAAGCTAATGGTTTCCTTACCCTATGTCTCACTCTTAAACTGAAATTGAAAAACTAGCTAAGAGATTTCTTCATGGGTACACCAAGTGTCAATGACATTCTATTAAAAATTGATCACGAATTCTTTGCCAAAGATTTTCTTGAATGGCAGAGATGAAAAAATTAAACTTGTTCATTTATTCAATAAATATCCATTCAGTGCTGACTATGTAGAGGAGTGGGAAAGTTGTGAAGAGTAATCTGGAAGGGAAGGAAGTGACACACGCAAAAATCCTGGAGCAGGGGCCGGCGCCGCAGCTCACTAGGCTAATCCTCCGCCTTGCGGCGCCGGCACACCGGGTTCTAGTCCCGGTCGGGGCACTGGATTCTGTCCCGGTTGTCCCTCTTCCAGGCCAGCTCTCTGCTGTGCCAGGGAGTGCAGTGAGGATGGTCCCAAGTGCTTGGCCTTGCACCGATATGGAGACCAGAGAAAGCACTGGCTCCTGCCATCGGATCAGCGCGTGCCCAGCTGCAGTGCGCTGCTGCAGCGGCAATTGGAGGGTGAACAACGGCAAAGGAAGACCTTCTCTGTCTCTCTCTCTCACTGTCCACTCTGCCTGTCAAAATAAATAAATAAATAAATAAATCCTGGAGCAGGAAAAAACACAATAGGTTGGGAAGGTGGGGGGACAAAAACAGTGCAGCTACAGCAGGGATATCCAACGAGAGAGCGGTTCATAATGAAACTGGTGTGGGGAGGGGTTGGGGGATCCCTCCATGGACAGCCTCAGGACATGTCAAGGACTTTGGTCTTTATCAGGAAGCAGTGGGAAATCTGAAAGCTTTTAGACAGAGCGGTGACTTGATCAAACTTGTGTTTCTTTCATGTCCTTTCAACTACTATTTCTTATCATGACACTCAACTGACAACTTCCTGTCACTGGGTATGTTTTGATTTCCTCATGGACTTTCTGCAAATAATGGAAATTACACTGGCTAAAAAATATGCACTTGTAATTTGCAATGCTAACTCTCATAACATCCCAGTGGCACTTGTCCCTGGCTTACAGGTGAGGTAGTCAAGGTATGGGAAACACAGCATGAAGTAAGGGGGCTCCCTTCAAGGTAGACCCCCAAAGCCTGTGCTAACGTTGCTATCTATGTAGGTGCACCTGGGCTTTCTTGGAGGCAAAAGGTCTAGAACTTTTATCATACCCTCAAGGGAATCTGTGTCCCCAAGAAGCAGAGCCCGAAGCCAGGATTCAGGATCATGTGGATTACTGAAGATGGACCCCCAGGAGAACCTCAGAAAGAGAGAGGAGACAGAGAGGTTAGCAAGGATGTGTTCTCAGGTGATGTGTAGACCTGCCCCGGTCCATGGGGGACCCAAGCCTTAACTGTGCCATGAGTTATCCCCTCCTATGCACAAGGCCAGTCTCCTGCACCCCATGTCAATCAGCCATTAGCGATGAGTTGCTCCCACCAATCAAGGACAATTCTATTCTCTAGAGAAGTGAGGTTTCCAGATTAAATAAAATATTTTTATTTGCTGAACGTAGCAACCCTAGGAAGAGGGGCAGCTTTGAGCCATAAGCAGTCAACACACATAGAAACTGAGTGAAGGGGACCTTGGCAAGAAACCAAAATAGGGTCTCCTACCATCTGTGACCCCAAAAAGGCTCGAAACCCTCCATCCATAGGATGGAAATGGCTGAGCAGGCAGCAATGTCTTGGGAAACTATGATAAAAATTATGACAAGTTTCCAACACTTAGAGCAATGATGGGTCCCCAAGAAAACAGGACAAAGCTGCTGTCCAGCTGGCCTTGCACATCCAACTGACCCAAGTTTCCCAGCTCATTCAACCCAAACCCAGAACTTGTGAATTTTTAGAGTGCAGGAAGGATCCAAGGACCCAAGATCAACTGGAGTGTGACTAACAAAGCTTGTTCAAGGGCTCCCCAGAGGGATCCTTGAACGCTCAGGTGACCAAGTCCCCTGTGTACCCCGAGAGAGGGAGGGCAGAGTATACAGCGATGGTTAAAAAGCAAGGATATGGGCCCAGCGCTGTGGTATAGCAGGTAAAGCCCCTGCCTGCAGTGCCGGCATCCCATATGGGCACCAGTTCAAGTCCTGGCTGCTCCACTTCCGATCCAGCTCTCTGCTCTGGCCTGGGATAGCAGTGGAAGATGGCCCAAGTCCTTGGGCCCCTTCAGCCACATGGGAGACCTGGAAGAAGCTCCTGGCTCCTGGCTTCAGATCGGCAGAGCTCCAACCATTGTGGCCATCTGGGGAGTGAACCAGTAGATGGAAGATTCTCTCCCTCTCTCTCTCTGCCTCTGCCTCTGCCTCTCTGTAACTCTGCCTTTTGAATCAATAAATAAATCTTAAAAAAAAAAAGCAAGAACAACAGGTCCAGACTATCAACGTACAAATACCAGCAACTGCATTTACCAAGTGTATCACTTTGAGGAGGCTACATAGATACTCTTGGATTCAGTTTCTTAACTGTAAAAGGGGATGATAAATGTGGTCCATCCTTGCTTGTAGAGTCTATGCTTATGTAGTATATAGGATCAACTGAGCTAAAAAGGAAAGGAAAGGAAAGGAAAGGAAGGGAAGGGAAGGGAAGGGAAGGGAAGGGAAGGGAAGGGAAGGGAAGGGAAGGGAAGGGAAGGGAAGGGAAGGGAAGGGAAGGGAAGGGAAGGGAAGGGAAGGGAAGGGAAGGGAAGGGAAGGGAAGGGAAGGGAAAGGAAAGGAAAGGAAGCTAAGCTTGCATCAGGGCAAGTATCAATGTCAATGATGACTGTGATTATTTAGCCTTCAGAAGGACAGGGCACAGGCTTTTAACCGGCAACTTCCAAGCCAGCTTCTCCCAGAGTCCTGAGAGCATCCTCCACAGGCACATATTCTTCTGTGCGGCATCACTTGGCCCTGAGCTTCCTGGGAGCCAGATGAGGGTGGTTTTCATCTTTGCGCAGTGCTGTGGGCACACTGAAGGGGCCGATAAATATTTGATCAGTGGATGCTGCCATTGCCAGAGATTTCACAAGGAAGCTTGCTCTCATCTGGGCCCTGCCGCCTCTGTAGCCCATGGCAAGTGGACTGCCTGTCTCAAAGTTCCAATGAATCCGTCTCTGAATTTCAGATTTCCAGGCATGAGGTCGGGAGGTTTAGTCTGGAGAAAAATCTCTGGCCAGTGTTTACTGAGTCCTCCCACGCACTGTACTGCGTGTTTCCTGGGCATTAGTCATTCAATAACCCTGTGTTCTTAATCACCCCCATTGTACAGGGGAGGAAACAGGCTCAGCCATCAGCTCTGGGATAAGCAGCACCTAGTAGATTCTCTTATTCTAAGACATGAGCCATAGCCAGTAGGGAGGACACAGCCTTGCCAATGCTGGCTAAGCTCCCTGGAATTTCAGGCACTGTCTGTGGGCAGACACTGAAGCCAGAATTCAAGAAGGGGGGCCTCTCTTGGCCAGCCAGCCTCTAGTTCACAGGCAGAGCTCATGTTCTGCAAAGCTGGATGCCGACAGAGAGAGGGTACAGGACAGCCCCAGATGTCACAGGGATGCTGCTGAGCCAGGCCAGTAGCAGTGCTAACATCGAACGAATGCAAAAACAAATACTGTGTATGGGGACTTACTAACTGCCAGGCTCTGGGCAAACCCCGCCTTGGCTGGATTCCCCCAAACAGAAGCCTTGAGACAAGTAGTTTACTGGAGAAATGACTCCAGGAAGTAGAGTGAAAAAGTGATTAAATGAGATAGGGAATAGAGGAAAATCAATTAAGAGTCTAAGAATAAATAGTGGAGACACTTTGGGACTCTTGGGAATTACTCCACTGAGAGTGAGGTAGGTGGGGTCTTTATCCACCAACTCCCCTCCCTTGTTGGTGGAGAGCCACTCCAGGTCATTAATTCCCCAGCGCTTCTAACACCTTGTGCAGCAACTGAGACTGCTCCTGCAGCCAAAGGAGCCTTTACATGGAGAGGAACACAGGTGCCGGGGAGCCGGAGGTGCTTGAGGCCACGGGCATGTACAGGAACTGCCGGCGCCCACAGGATCGAGGGAACATGGGAGGGGCCCTGGCACACCTGGCACAACCGCTTCTCATGAATTGTCTCACTGCCCCAACAAGGTAAATAGCATAACAGTGCCCATTCTATAGCTGAGGGAACAGACACAGACTCAGCAGAAGTAAGAATTCAGGCAGCGTCACAGAGCTGATCAATTGTGCCGCATTCCAGAGAAGAGAAAGGGGTGACCTCCGGCAGAGTAGGGGATAAGTCACCCCTCTCCCAGAACAGCACAGTCTCCAGGACACATCCAACCATGCATTCTCCTAAGGTCACCTTGCTTTGGAAGGTGTCAGCCACGTGCGTGGACATTTTTCCTTCATTTTTACTGCTTCTATATTATAGCATCACAGAGAACCCAGGAAGTAGGAAGGAAAGAATTACATTCCCATCTTCCAGGTAAGGAAACCTCAGACTCCACTAGGTTTCTTGCATTTGCCAAGATCACAAAGCCAGCAAGCTAAGGAGACCCGATTTGAGCATAGATCTTCTGGTTCCAAGCCCAGTGCCATCACCACAGCACCAACTGTGCACGGCCGGATAGGACTGGCAGCCAGCGTAGACACACACAGTCAAGCAAGGCATTAGGAGCCTCAAAACCAGGTTGGGGGGCTGGCACCACCGCCTGCAGGGCAAGTATCCCATATGGGCGCCACTTTGAGTCTCAACTGTTCCATTTCTGGTCCAGCTTTCTGCTTTAGCCTGGGAAAGCAGTAGGAGATGGCCCAAGTCCTTGGGCCCCTACACCTACCTGGGAGACCCAGAGGAAGCTCCTGGCCTCAGATTGGCATGGCTCTGGCCATTGTGGCCATCTGAGGAGTAAACCAGCAGATGGAAGACCTCTCTCTCTCTTTTTCTGCCTCTGTCTCTCTGTAACTCTGCCTTTCAAATCAATAAATAAATCTGAAGGAAGGAAGGAGGGAGGGAAGGAAGGAGGGGGGAGGGAGGAAGAAACCAGGTTGGAACCTCTGTTTGCCCACCTAGTTGTGGGCTTCACAGTGAATCAAGCCCTTCATGTTCCAAGGACTTGGAGTGATTGGCAGAGTTAGTGCCCCTGCCTCTAGAAGCTCCCTCTTCCATTCTGGCCCATTTCTCTTTGAAGTCCTTCCCAGTGCTTGCCACAGTTGGTCGTCTTGATCAGGACCTGCACTAGCCGTCTCCTCTGGACTGTAATCACCCTGGGGCAGAGTGCACGTCAGTGTTGCCCACTTCCATAATCACAGAGACGCACCAGTAGGGAAGCTGGAGAGATAAAGCTTGAAGGCACTCAATTCACCACTGCTGGAAGGGTCCACGTGGAAATCTGAGGAGGAGCAAAGCCCTGGCCCCCCCCCAGCTAGCAAGGGAACAGGCACCTCGGTCCTACAGGTGCAAAAGATGGAGTTCGGCCAGAAGGAGCTCAGAAGTGGGTTCATCCTCCAGGGCCTCCAGAAAGGACCACAGGCTGCCAACACTCGGGTCTCAGTCTTGGGAAGCTCCAAACACGATCAGCTGAGCCACACTGGACCCGATTCCCGACCTGCAGCACTGTGACACGCTCTCCGCATGCTATTTTAAATGGCTAAGTGCCATGTGCTATGGCAGCAATAAAGCCAATACAGACAATCATTTTAAGAACCTGATACACACTAACTATATAATAAATGTCTGTGTAGACAAATGAGTAGATATAAGAATACTTTTGAGGTTTAAGTCAGAGGGTTCTTTTTTGGCCAGCAGTGGGGAGGGGAGATGCTTCTTGTATTAATCAACTTTTGCTGCATAACAACCACAAGTATCAGGGCAAACAGCAGCGAGTGTTGATTTCCCATTCACTCACTCACAGTGTCAGCTGGGGCCAGCAGATCTGGGCTACGTTCAGCTGTGCTTGGCTCCAAGCTGCACTTGGATCCCAACGCACTTGTGTGTCTCCATGCCGCTTGGACTGGTAACTGCCTAAGCATGTTCTTCTCATGCTGAAAGACAGGAAGACAAGAAGGTGCACCCCAGGCCTCTGCTTATATCACAGGCAGGAGCATCCCACTGGCCAAAGCAAATTCACAGCCAAGCTCAAGATCAACCAAACAGGGGGGCACATGCTTCCCAGGCGCACACATAGAAAGTGCGTATTTGCTGAAGAGTGGTTATACTTCTGTAATAGACCATACTACATGCCAGTGCCGGCATGTTTGCAGAGATTCGTAAAATGGGACACGAAAGTAGCAGAAAATCTGTTTCTCAAGTTCTATTTGCCAAAATTCACGAATCACTTGGGAGACACAATTATAACAAGAGACCACAGTGGTTTGAATCCTTTCTCTGCACTTACTCTCTCCTTGACCTTGGTCAACTCACCTGTGTGACCTTCAGTTTTCTCATTTGTCAACTGGAAATTATGGCGGTGGTTGCCTCTCAGAGCTACAAGGCAGATAAAGTGAGAAAATGAAGATAGAGTCCTCAGTGCTGTAACTGGTGTAGAGTTAGCACCCAAAAATACATTCATTCCTTCACCCCTCCTGATGGGGCCTGTCTGATAAACACCTACTTACAGTCAGGAGCAGGTACCTGGCAGCTGTGCTTGGAGACTGGATGTGTGTGGTGTCTGATTCAACAGGACAGTAACCAAACAACTTGGCTGGGAGTGGTGATGATGTGTGCATGTGAGTGTGCGTGTGCGTGTGCGTGTGACTGAATGACATGCTGCATATAAAACGCACCCCCGCCCCTGTCCCCCTCCCTGGGGCTCTTGACAATGATTACAAGTGATTCTGAAGAATCCACTGACACATGTTATAAGCCTTGATTATAAAGAGAAAAGTGATTTACCTAAAGTGGATCTTCCATCTACTGGAGGTAGCCAGGCCCCACTGGCAAGAAAGATAAGCAGTCCTGCAGAGATGCTCCAGAACTCTGCAAACTCGGAATCTTCAGCACAAAGCCTGCTCCTTCCCCAGCAAGCCTGATTGACAAGGCCCCACAAAACCCCCCAGAAAAGCCCATCAGCTCATCCGCCCGCACCCAGGCCCAGCTCCAATGGCAGCAGCCCACAGAGCGGCCTTGGAAATAGACCACAAATGGCACCTTTTTATTTACAAGCACTTTCCATTATGAGCATAATAACCCCATGCTTTCCCAGGTTTGTATATAAACATCTCAAAATAGGATTATTTTAAAAGGACCTTGGGATACAATCCTTCCGTTGGAGAGAGCGGCTGTGTGCTCACACTGAGAGCTGGCTGGCTGGCTGCTTACTTGCCTGCCTTGCGAGAGCACTCATTCCAGGCAGAGAGAAGAACTTCTAGCCCTGGACGTCCAGTGGGCAGTGACAGAGTCCTGTGCCACTCAAGAGTTTCACAGCCAAGTCCTGAGATCAGCAAATTGAGGGGCCATGGCCACATGGCTGATAAGAATGATTCACACTTGAGAGAAGTCAGATGTTTCCCAAGCCCTGGTCGCCGGCTTAGCTCATTGACTTGGCATCAGCAGTTGAGTTGGGTGGCTAGAATTCCTCAAACAAGGGGCAGGCACTTGGCCTAGCAGTGAAGAAGTGAAGATTTCTGTCCACATCCCACATTGGAGGGGCCCGGCCCGTGACTCCAGCATCCTGCCACTGTAGACCCCGGGAGGCAGGAGATGGCTGAACTGGTTGGGTTTCTGGCACCCACATGGGAGACCTGGATGGAGTTCCGACCACCTGATTCGCATCCTCAGCCCCAGCCCAGCCCTGGCCATTGCAGTCATTTGGGGAATGAATTCACAGATGAGTATATTTGTTCTCTCACCCTCCCTCCCTCCCTCTCAAAAATGTTTAAAGAATTGTTAGGATGAGAAACCTTCATCCCGGGAGTATTAAGTACTTTCATCCCTGCCCCAGAATTGTCAAGGGCAGAGCTTGAAGCCAGTCTCTCTGACTTGATGCCTAGCATTTGTGGGCTCCCCTATACCCTGATCAGCAACTCCCACCTTGGGAAGTGGCGCTGTGAGCACCAGACTCAGACTCCGTGTCCTGGTCCTGTCTCCATCACCAGCCCAGAGCAGGACGCCTGCTTCTCTCCATCTCTCTGGGTCTCCGTTTCTTCGTGTGTGTTCTCAGTGTGAGCTCCTCTGAGAAGCAGAGCGTGCACTGGCAACTCAAGTGCAAGCCATTTATTTAGAAAATGAGTAAAATACAACTGGAAAGAGAAATCTTACGTGAGCTATCTATGGCTGGATAATAAATTTCACCCAAAACATCGCCACTTAAAAAATTACACACGCGTTATTATCTCACAGTTTGTATGGATTGGAAGCCCAGGCACAGCATGGCTGGGCGCCTTTAGCTCAAGATGTCTCATGAGGTTGCGGCCAAACTGCCAGGCTACACTGCAGGCTTGTGGACAGGCTCAGCTGGGGGAGGATCCAGTTCCTGGGCGCCCTGTCCCTCACTGGCTGTGGGCCAGGTGCCTCCCCAGGTTCCCAGCTGCATGGGTCCCTCCACAGGGTGCCTCACAACAGGTACCGGGCTTCCCTCGGAACGAATGAGTGGGAAAGCGAGAGAACACGTCCAAGGTGGAAACCACACTCTCGCTCACCGAATCTTCGAGTCGGTGTCCTGTACTTCCGCTGGATTTTATTCATTAGAAGTGAGGCAGTCATGATACCCTTTACACTTAGATTTTTCAAAGTATCTACATGTAGGAGTTTAGGTATAGTGAAAATATGCCTTGGTTAACTTGTAGGTAAACTGAAATGCTTAGAATTTCTACTAAGATTACATGACCGTTTTACAGGTATAGGGTATGTAGTTAACTACAGCCTGTAAAGACCAGCGGACCCAATTCTTGTCAGCTTTCCTTTGTTTTATAGAAAACTTTTATTTAATAAATATAAATTTCATAAGTACAACTTTTGGATTACAGTGGTTCTTCCCCCCATACCTGCCCTCTCACCCCCAAATCATCCCACCTCCTACTCACTCTCCCATCCTTGTCGCTCCCCCTCTTCGTGGAGGAGCAACACAGGACCCTGCGCTGTTCTTTCGTCTGCTCGGCCTTCCCCGGGTTTGCTGCTGGTTCTTCCCGGGTTGGCTACTATCCCTTCCACCTCTGTGGAAGGGCAGTTCCCCCTGGCCACATTCCCCACTTCCGCAGGGGAGCGGCACACCGCCGGCCGGCTTTCTCGGGGGCTGCACGGGTTCCCTTAGATGTTCCCCATAGATGTTCCTGGTGCATGCCGTCTCTCTCCTCCTTTATAGTCCTCCTCCGCCAATCCCAACTCGGCTGCCCACACGCCGAGTACGCTGCTCTCCAATCAGGAGCAAGTCCTACAGTTAATTGGTTGAACTGGAGGCAGCTGTGCGGAAGCTGTTTACTTCTCTCCCAGCGCCATATTGTGGGAGAGCAGATGCATAGAATAAGTCTTAATTCCAGTAACTCAGTCTAGTCCGGGTTGCTCCCCACACATCCTATTCTTCATGAAGGTTAATTTTTAATTATCTTTATATACAGAAGATCAACTCTATACTAAGTAAAGATTTAAACAGTTTGCACCCACACAGACACACAAAGTATAAAGTACTGTTTGAAGATTAGTTTTACCGTTAATTCTCATAGTACAACACATTAAGGACAGAGGTCCTACACAGGGAGCAAGTGCATAGTGACTCCTGTTGTTGATTTAACAACTGACACTCTTATTTATGATGTCAGTAATCACCCAAGGCTCTTATGAGCTGCCAAGGCTATGGAAGCCTCTTGAGTCCACAAACTCCGATATTATTTAGACAAGGCCATAATCAAAGTGGAAGTTCTCTCCTCCCTTCAGAGAAAGGTACCTCCTTCTTTGATAGCCCCTTCTTTCCACCAGGATCTCACTCACAGAGATCTTTCATATAGGTCAGTTTTTGCCAGTGTCTCAGCTTTCCATGCCTGAAATGCCCTCATGGGCTTTTTAGCCAGATCCGAATGCCTTAAGGGCTGATTCTGAGGCTAGAGTGCTGTTTAGGGCATTTGTCATTCTTTGAGTCTGCTGTGTGTCCTGCTTCCCACGTTGGATCATTCTCTCCTTTTTAACTCTATCAATTATTATTAGCAGACACTTGGTTTTATTTATGTGATCCCTTTGCTTGTCAGCTTTCCAATCCTCATTGGTGCCATTCAAGACTCAAGCTGTTTACAGGAAATAATATACTTAGCAAAGTAGTTTTGTCCTTCAAAAATTTTGAAATCAGCTTAAAATACAGAGTCTGCCGAGCTTGTTCAATGAGATAGAGAATAACAACAGACCTGTAGTTGCTCCATTGATGGGGTCGAGGCAGGGTTCCTGGAGCCAGAGGAAAACCACAAGAAAAGACCATCAACTAGATTGAGAGCTTGAGAGCAAGAACTTGAGAGCAACGGCAAAGGAGAGGGAGGGAAAAATACAATGAGGTTGTGTCTCTTGAACTAAAAAATATGTTTTTTCTTAATGAAAAATTGACGGTGTTTTCTTATAAAAAAAATGTTCTATTGTCTATTTGCCAGCATTTTTTCTAAGTTAATGTACTGTTGCTTTCTGGAAAATGTCTAATTTCATTTTGTGCAACTCATATAATTTCGCTATTGTCATGAAGTTGCATTGATTTTATTTGTAAGGTGTATGATTTTAAATACCTAGATGCTGCATGAAGTGACTTGTTTTAAATGAATAAATCAAGTGAAAAAAATATATACATATAGAGAGAGAGAGAGAGGAAGAAAGGAAGTGAGGCAGGGAGTCCAGCGCCTCCTTTTGGGAGGAGGCCACACAGCATTGTGAACACCAGAAGGTGCCGGTCACGGGGAAGTTGCCAGCCAATGACTGAGGCTAACACGCTAGTGCTCTGTTCCACCTTGTGAGCCAAGGAGCCTTCTCTGACTCCTGACAAAGCCCTCAGGAACTGGGGTGTGTGACTGGGGTAATGTGCTCCTGACTGTCCCCGCTTCCTCCCTCCCAGGGACAGCACATTGGCCACAACGCCCATCTGGCATCCCTCCCCAGGGATGTGAGCCTGGTGTTCCCTTTCTGGGGTAGGCAGCCAGTGAAGGGTGCGTATCCACACACCTGCATGGTGGAACCATTGGAGACACATGTCTCGGAGTTGCCCTGTGCAAGGGGAGGAGGAGCTGGGGTATTTATACGCCAGGTCCCTTCACGTGCTGATTCTTCAGCAAGTTCGACTGAACCTAGCACACATCAGCTGAGCTCCTCTCCAAGTTCCAAGAACTGCTTCCTGATCTTGCTTCTTCAGGGTGGAGTGGGGAGGGATCCCCAAAGTTGCTCACCCCCAGGTGCTGTACCACCCTTTGTTGGTTTCCCTAAACTCTGTCACACCCTGTAAACAGCCCCTTTATTAAGTTCTCCTTAGCTAAATGTGTCCATGGACATCTGAGAAGACTACTCCTTTCATCTCCAACACACCTCCCAGAGACCTCCTTGTTCAAAAAGCAAAGTTTCTGCAAAGACTTATTTGTTTCTTCTGACCTTTCTCTCTGCTCCAGAACCTCATCCTTTAAGACCTGGTTCTCTTGGCTCTCCCTCTCCTTTCTTGCTCGGTTACAAAGAGAACCATGCTGCCTTCTTTACACACCCCAAATTCTGAATCCTGATGACCTGTGTGTGGTTAATATTTTCTCATTTGTAATTTTTAGAGAAGTAAGACACTATAATATCCCCAATGCTTAACCAGGGTTGGGGGGCGTTGACCTGCAGGTCATATAAATTGTTTGGTCTGCCCCCCTGCCAAGGTAACCGCAGGCAGGATTCAAAATTCAATAAATCTATAGCAGGCTAATTTTTAAGTTGATAATTTTGTATGGACGCTCAAATGATGTTATAAATATCCAAATGGCCTTTAGCAGGAAAAAGATTCTCCAGCCCCTGGAAGGCCATGGCCAAGGTACCAGTTCATCCTAATTTCCCACAGAATTAAACTAAGTATGCACACACATCTGAATGAACTGTGCAAAGAAAAAGAAAGTGTTAAGTTACAGCCACAAACTTGGGTCAAAGTTCAGAAGCTAAGTGGTTACTTGGCAACCAATGTCCTGGAGAGGGTACCTGACAAGGCAAACAAATTTTACTTTTGGTGTCTCTTGGATTGCAAATAATTCTCTGCCAGTGCTTAGGAACAACCTCATCAGAGTCAACTCACCATGGTCCTCAACACAAGTGATATTAAAAATATTAAATAGCAAGTAGGGCCTGGGCAGGAGCAATCAGAACAGACCCGGGAGGGGGGTTGCTGTACCAGGGAAAGCGGTGGGTCCAGATCACCACTGTCCTGCCATCCCCTGATGCCCCCCCGCCATGAACTTTCTTGCCACTGGGCAATCTCTCTGCTCTGCAGAAAGGAGGTCTGCTGGTATCTTTGTGAAACACTTCATGATCTACGGGGAATCGCCTTCTGTGGTTGAGGAGTAGCTTCCTGTTTCTTTCTTAGAAGAAAGTTTGTGCTATTTAACCCAACATGAGTTACACAGCAGATACAATGACGAAAGGGTTAACTTCATCACTGATCCGCAAATCTGTCTGAGATCACTATCCCTGTATTTGCTACAGTCCTAATGTGACTGCAGAGTCCTTCCCCCCTCCCTCCCCAGACAGCCCCCTCCTTCACGCCCACGAGCCCATGGCTTTGCTGTAGATTCCTTGTGCACGAGGCTTTTGATCTCAAAGCCCAGGGCAAAAGCACGGGCTGACTCCCAAGGGCTGCCCAGGCCTTTACAGAGCTAAAAATGATAGCACCTTTTTCCAATCTCAATGCAGAAAGTAAAGTGATTTTTTTTTTCACTCTCGTGTTCTATTTTTAAAGGCCAGGTATCATTTGTATTCTATTTAGCAAATCTTTATGTGGTACTTAGTATGTGCCAGGTGTTGCCCCAAGTGCATTTCAAATCTTAACTCACTTAATCTTCATAACACTCCTATGAGGTGAATGCTCTTATTATTTCCAGTTTGTAGACAGGAAATAAGGCACAGACAGCTTAAGTAACCAACTCAAGGTCACACAGCTAACACCTGGAGAAGTCAGATCTCCAACCCAGCCTGGCCCCAGATTCTGTGCTTCCTGAATCACTATATACTCTCTATATATTTTTCATTTTACTTGAAAGAAAGAGAGAGAGAGAGAGATTAACATCTTCCATCCTCAAGTTCACTCCCCAAACACCGCCAACACCCAAGGCTGGGCTGGGCCAAGGACAGGAGCAAGGAAATTTTTTTAAATATTTATTTTATTTATTTGGAAGGCAGAGTTACAGAGAGGGAGAGACAGAGAATGGGATTCTTCCATCCGCTGGTTCACTCTCTAAATGGTCACAATGACTGAGGCTGGGCCAGTCCGAAGCCAGGAGCCAGAGCTTCCTCCAGGTCCTGCCTGTTGGCAGGAGCCCAAGCACTTGGGCCATCTTCTGCTGCTTCCCCAGGCAGGGAGCTGGGGAGTGGACTGACTCAAACTAGTGCCCATAGGGTATGCTGGTGTTGCAGATGGCCCACTACACCGCAACACTGGCCCCAGCCAGATATTTAGCTTAGTGTTTCAGGTGAGTGGCAGGGACCCAACTATTGAACCACCGCCTGTCATTTCTCAGGGTCAGCATTAGCAAGAAACTAGATCAGACGTAGAGGAGCTGGGACTCGAACCAGGCACTCCAGTATGGGAAGTAAGCAAACCCAGTGGGGTCTTAAACTCTGCACCAAATGCTGCCCCTACATTATACTCTTCCGTGTTCATTTTATAACGCAGCTGATTATGTATGGTCACTTGCAAATGAAGTAGTGCCTAATACATGGATGCAAGAGGCACCAACATTGAATGAGCTCCTACAGTATACCACTCTTTGTTCCAAAGGCCTCAGCATGCCATTTTATTACCTATCAACAAAATTAGGAGACAGACCCGGAATCCCC